CAAGGCCGCTCTGTCCACGCGCCACGCGTCGGCGCTGGGCTTGTGACGGGTCTCGGCGCCGCGGCCAGCTCTGGTGGTGACGGTGTTTCTGCGGCGCAGCCTGGGGTCCCCTGGACGAGCCCCGCCCTGCTCAAGGCTGCCGCCCCGCCGGCTCTGAGCGGCTCGCCCCTCCGGCTGAGCGCCCGCGGAGGTCTGGGGTCCCCCCGCTCGCTGTGAGGGCTTTGGGACTACGAGGAGGCTGGTGCACTGGTCTGCGAGGCCACCCCGGGGCTCTCGGGGCACAGGGGTGCGTCTCCGCCCCGGCCGGGGGACCCAGGGCGCTGCAGACGCCCCTGCCCCCGCTGCCCCGAGACCCGCCCTCCTGCCCCCACTCTTCCGGGGGCGCCCCCTCACCCGCACCTCCGGCCTGCCCGGCTCCCGTGTGCACAGAGAACCCCTAAAACAAGCTCAGCGCGCCGTCCAGGCGCCCCCTAGCCTTACTGGCCTGTCCACGCCACCGGCACTTCCATTCCTCGGCTGCTTCTGCCGGCGTCCAGCGCCCTGGCCCTCGCCTCAGTGTCCGCCGCGCGCTCGCTCTCAGTCGCCCGCGCTGTCCGTCGGGTCTTCCCGCCCGCCCGGCTGGGGATGCGCCCCGGGCGCCCGCAGGCCCTTGCGCCCGTGACGTCATGTCACGCGGAGTGACGCCATATGATGCCGAGTGACGCTGAGTGACGCCGTGTGACGCCGTGTGACGCCGAGTGACGCCGAGTGATGCTGAGTGACACCGAGTGACGCCGAGTGACGCTGAGTGACACCGTGACGCGGAATTATGCAGAGTGACGCCGTGTGACACCGAGTGACGCCGAGTGACACCGAGTGACGCCATGACGTGGAGTGACGCTGAGTGACGCCGTGTGACGCCGAGTGACGCTGAGTGATGCTGAGTGATGCCGAGTGACACCGAGTGACGCTGAGTGACACCGAGTGACACCGAGTGACACCGAGTGACACCGAGTGACGCTGAGTGACACCAAGTGACACCGAGTGACGCTGAGTGACGCCGTGACGTGGAGTGATGCGGAGTGATGCCGTGTGACACCGAGTGACGCCGAGTGACGCTGAGTGACGCCGTGTGACACCGAGTGACGCGGAGTGATGCCGTGACGCGGAGTGACGCTGAGTGATGCCGTGACGCGTCAAAGGCCCGAACCTCGCGACCCGCGGCCGCCGGCGGGCTTCGCTTCGAAGGTGGGCCTATTGGCGCACACGGGAGCCGGTGCGGCCAGGGGCGAGGTCTCCCAGCGGCGGGGAGCAGGGCAGGCGTGTCCCCCCACACGCCGCAGGGGCAGCAGGGGCAGCGCGCGGCTGGCTCCCCACCGGCGCTTGCGGCTCCTGCTTCTCGGGGAATTGTTTTGTTTTGATTTGATCTGGAGCAGGACGGACCCCCAATTAGGGCTGTCACTGCCGAGGGCTTAATTGCAGGCTCGGGATGTCTCCCCTTCCCGCGGCTGCTGAGGCCGTAATTACTCCCGGAGTCTCTGTCCACGGCCATCGGCGGCGTCCGCCCGCCCGCCCGCCGGCCCCGGCGGTCAGCTCCCTGTCCCCAGGGGCCGCGCGGCTGGGGCCTGGCCCACAGCGGCCCGCGACGGGCTCTGCTCTGGCGGAGGAAAGCCAATTAGTGACAAACGGATGGCTAACAGCGTGATCGGGTCACTCCTTTGCTACAAATCAATCAACAAAATGCTAATTACGCCGGTCTTTTAGGCCTGGATTAATCTATTAGTAATTAAAGTGAAGTACAAGTCTGGCCCCATCTTAATTGCGCCGCGAGCGAGTGGGTGAGCCCCCCGCCCCCCGCCCGGCGGGCAGAGCAGCCGGCTCCGTGGGCTGTTCACAACTCAATTTGCATCTTTATTGTGCGTGTAAAAGAGGCTTTTTAAAGCAGAGTCGTAAATTCCAGGTCTGACTCTGCAGTCCCACCTCCCCTGGGGCCCGGGGTGCGTGGGGGGCGCCGAAGTGGCCCTGGGCCTGCGGCGGCCCCCCCAAACTGCCCCTTTTGTTGTTTGCGAAAACCCGGCGCAGGGCCTGTGGCCACGTGCTGGGGCGCAGCAGCTGCTCGGACACTTCGCGGACGAGGAAGCTCAAGGTCACCGAGGGGACTCCGGAGGCGGGGTGCTGGGCGGGGCGGACCCCGGAACCGGGACCCCGGCCAGGACCGGCGTGGGAGCAGCG